ATAGGTAACTGTACCTCCTCCACAATAACACTCAATACTGGAGCACCCCCAAAGATGCATCCCTCAGCCCCCTACAGTACTCCCTGTACACCTACAACTGTGCTGTCAAATTCCAAATGAACACCATTTACAATATCGCTGATGACACCACCGTTGTGGGATGGATATCTAACAACGACGAGTCAAACTACAGAAGGGAGATAGAGGGCTTGGTGACACGGTGCAATGAAAACAATCTGTCTCTCAACGTTGACAAAACTAAAGAACTGATCATTAACTTTAGAAAGAAAGGAGAACACGCCCCCATCTACAACAACTGAACTGAGGCTGAGAGAGTGAACAGCATCAAGTTCCTTGGAGTGACGATAACCGACGACTTGTAGATGCGATAGTCAAGAAGGCACAACAACACCGCTTCTTCCTCAGGCAGCTCAGGAAATTTGACATGTCCATAAGCTCCCTCTTCTTACTTCTACAGATGCACCATTGAAAGCATACTGTCCGGGTGCATAATGGCCTGGTACGGCAACTGCTCTGCCCAGGACCGTAAGAAACTACAGAAGGTGGTGTGTATAGCCCAGACCATCACAGAAGCCAACCTTCCATCCATGGGCTCTATTTACATGGCTCACTGCCACAGAAAGGCTGCCAACATCATCAAAGACCCATCCCACCCCAGTAATGATCTCCTACACCCTCATCTGTCAGGCAGAAGATACAGAAACACACACGAGCAGGTTCAGGAACAGCTTCTCTATGGCCATTATCAGACTGTTGAATGGACTCTAGCCTCAAATAATGTAACCTATATGCCTCTAAGTCTTTTTGTTCTGTACATCCTTTGCATGCTGTGATCTGCCTATATCGCTCATAAACAAAGCTTTTCACTGTATTTCAGTACACGTGACAATAAAATCAATCAATCAATATCAAAAAGAAAATACTCAAAAAAGGAGCAGTTCTTACAGCCACAATTTTCCCATCCTCCATCTTGGGTTTTGTCTCATTAAAAACATTACACAAAGCTATCCTGAGCTTTTAATGTTCCCTTGTCCCCTCATTGTTTGGCACAGAGGATGCATCTGCCTCGAAACCTCAAGAAACTCAATTAGAACAGACTAAAGGTAATTCAACTCTTCACAGCTTCTGCTTCTGATACATAGTCACTGCCAGCTGCGTTTTCCGTTCTTTTAGTTCCTGCAATTTGCAGCATAACAAGCTGTCAAACAGCAACTGTGAGGTGTTAGTTTATGAAATCATTGATAGCCCAAGGCCCTTGAGAATTCACTGGCTAATTGCATGACTTAATCGGAGTTTGTGTCTCAAGCACATTTCTCACATCTACCTCTTGTTCTGTGTGCTGTCTAATTGCTGAATGTTGTGATTCCAGCTTGGTTCAAGCTTGTGTGTGTTTCTGACAGTGATTAGAATGCCTCAGTGTAGAATGTCAAGAGAAAGGGCCACAAAGAATTTTACTAAGTACCCATGTATGAAAATAAAACAGGTTTTTCTATACCACAATCTTTCAAGTTTATTTAATTGTAAGCATCAAACTGCCCTCTCTGTTCTCTAGCTTCCATTCCTGAATCCTTTGTGATAATTCTCATCTGCAGATGGAATGGGGAACATTGTCAGAAAACTCTGCAGATTGGAGCAAAGTTGAAAAAGGAATGATTGCTGCACATTGTTGCCATGCATCATTTTAAAATACTCCAATTTGAAGAGACAGTATTATGTAAGTTTGTCACCTCAGTCCACTGTACGCGATGCTGCCCATCACAGTTACTGCCACCATTGCCTTTAATTTTAACTAGAGGGCCAGGTTGGCACAGCGTTTCAGAGGAAAACACTTCGTGGTCTGAGGTTGTTGACTTGTTCGCCGAGCTGGTTTGTTCTTGTTCTGATGTTTCGTCACTATGCTAGGCAACATCATCACTTCAACAAGTCCACAGCAACCCTCCGAAGCGATGTCGTTCTACTCTGCTTGGAATTTATACTGTCTGGTCTGTTATGGTGAGTAGTGTCATTTCTGGTTTTGTTCTGTATGGGTTTGTACATGGTGTCCAATTCTGTATGTTTGTTAGAATAAATTCCAAGTGGAGTAGAACAACATCGCTTCATCGAAGGTTCCATTGATGATGTTACCCAGCATGGTGACGAAACTACTTCTTCACCCAGGGGTTGTGAATCTGTGGAATTCCCTGCCCAGTGAAGTGGTTGAAACTACCTCACTGAATGTTTTTAAGGCAAGGCTAGCTAAATTTTTGAACAGTAAAGGAATTAAGGGTTATGGTGAGTGGACGGGTAAGTGGAGCTGAGACTGAAAAAGATCAGCCATGATCTTATTGAATGGCGGGGCAGGCTCGAGGGGCCAGATGGCCTACTCCTGCTCCTAGTTCTTATGTTCTTATGTCCTATTATGAAACGTCTGAATGAGAACAAGCCAGCTCGGCAAGCAAGTCAACAATCTCATCCACAACCCGAGCTATAGATCTTTGCTAAAACCTTAAACTTCCTGGTCTACCTAGATGATTCTCTTGTAGTTAACAAGGTGTAGCTAATGCAATCCAGCAACTAATTACAAGTTGCAAAAATATGATAGACATTGTTCCAGACAGTTAGAGTAGTGCCTGAACGTTAGGTCTCAGTCTTTGTGCTCCTCCACTGTAATGCTCACAAGCCCACACAACATCATCAATGTGAATAGTACTTATGGCACTCCCCAGCATTAACCCTTTCAGACCCATTTACAACTGGCAGTAGCTTAATACTTGTATAATTCAGCCTCAGTTTTGAAGGTTAAATATCCTCAAATATTCTTCCATTTTTATGCCACTTACCAACAATTAAAAGTGGAGCCTGAAATGGATGGGTACACTCTGATTCCATGTTATGGATTAATGGAATAACAAGATGGGGAATCTGATCAGTGAAGGAATCAATGTTTATTGACATATTAACTTTACAGACTGCACAGTGATTCCTCAGCTCCCCATAGCATTCTAAACTGTATATAATTTCAGCATTGCCCAATATATTTAACAGTCAACTAAAGGGTACTTTGAAACTTTTGACAGATCAATAGTGATCTTGGGTTATACTAATCTCAGCATCTTTTTGCTCAACTTTAGGCAGTGATGGGCTCTGAAATTAGCCTCAGTACCCTCTGCCTTAAGAAAGGCAGCACAGTGGCTCAGCGGTTAGCACAGCTGCCTCATAGGGCCAGGGACCTGGGTTCGATTCCACCCTCAGGCAACTGTCTGTGTGGAGTTTGCACATTCGCCTGTGTCTGTGTGGGTTTCCTCTGGGTGCTCTGATTTTCTCCTGCCGTCCAAAGATGTGTGGGTTAGGTGAATTGACCATGCTAAATTGCTCATAGTGTGTACATTAGGTGGATTAGCCATGGGAAATGTAGTGATGTGGTGGTGGTGGTGGTGTGTCTGGGTGGGATGCTCTTCGGAGAGTTGCTGTGGACTTGTTGGGCTGAATGGCCTGTTTCCACACTGTAGGGATTCTATGATTCTAACTCAGCCTAGATCCCTGATCCCTGTCTGATACTGAGAAATGTCCACCCCATCCTGGGACCCCTGATCTCTGTCTGGTATTGAGATATGTTTATCTCAGCCAACATTAAATGGCCTGACAACACTTGGATCTGGGTTCTCACACATGAAGAATAGCAACTGAAGTTTGATCGAAAATGCATGTAGATGGGGATGATAACAACAATCAACAGAAGAAGGAAATATTTGTGCTAAAGAATTGTATATTGTATACTGTTTAGTTTGAAACTGGAAAGTGATTCTTTCAAGATGGTTAACTGGTGCCTCATCACTCAGTTATAATCACATCTAAATTTGTTCCATCTACTCAGAAAAGACTGAGCAAGCCGCATTTCTCTTTTCTTATTGTGAGCATCACTGGCTAGGCCACCATTTATTGCCCATCCTAATTGCCCCTTGAGGTGGGGAGCTGCTTTCCTGAACTGCTGCATTCCATTTGCTGAAGATAGTCCCTCAACGCCATGAAGGAGTAAGTTCCAGGAAATTAATCCAGTGATAGTGAAGAAACGACAATACATTTCCACGTCAGGATGGTGAGTGGCTGGGAGGGGAACTTGCAGGGGGTGGTGTTCCCATGTATCTGCTGCCCTTGTCCTTCTAGATGGAAGTGGTCATAGGTTTGGAAGGCACTGCCTAAGCAGCCTTTCTGAATTTCTGCATTGTATCTTGTAAATACTACACACTGAGCATCAGTGGTGGAAGGAGTGGATGTTTGTGGATGTGGTAGCCATCAAATGGGTGGTATCAATGTTCTCGAGTGTTGGTGGAGCTGCAAAAATCCAGGACAGTGGGAAGTATTCCATCACACTCCTGACTTGTACCTTGAAGATGTTGGACAGGCTTTGGGAAGTCAAACAAATTACTTGCTGCAGAGTCCTTAGTCCCTTGTAACCAATTATATGCCTGGGCCAGTTGAGTTTCTGTCATTGATAACCCCCAGGATGTTGATAGTGGGGGATTCAGCGATGGTAACACCATTGAATGTCAAATGTTGACAGTTAGCTTCTCTCTTGTTTGAGATGACCATAGCCTGGTTCATGTGTGGCACAAATGTTACTTGCCACTTTTCAGCCCAAGCCTGGATATTATTCTGATCTTGTTTCATTTGAACATGGACTGCTTCAGTATCTGAGGAGTCATGAATGGTGCTGAACATTGTGCAATCATCAGTGAACATCCCCACTTCTGACCTTATGATGGAGGTCATTGATGAAGCAGCTGAAGATGGTTGGGCCTACGACACTACCCTGAGGAACTCCTACAGAGATGTTCTGGAGCTGAGATGATTGACGTCCCACAACTACGACCATCTTCCTATGTGTCAGGTACGACTCCAACCACTGGAGAGTTTGCCCCCGATACCCATTGATTCCAGTTTTGCTCGGGCTCCTTGGTCGAATGCAGCCTTGATGTCAAGGGCTGTCACTCTCACCTCACCTCTGGAATTTTGCTCTTTGCAATATCCTTTGCAGTATCCAGTGCTTTCAATCTCTTCTTGATACCATCAATGCTTCCAAACTGCTGCAAAAGACTATGTTGGGTTAATTTCTGCAGGTAAGTGTAACCTTTACATGCACACAGCAATTGTCACTGTACAAAAGGGATCACTTGAGTGCGACTGGGCATGGGCTGGATATGCTTCCCTGTGTCCTCTTGGCCTTCACAGAACTAAGCATCCAAAATTACCAAGGCGTTACAAATACGGCAAGTATAGAGAGACTCTCTCCTCTCGGGAGTTGGCTGGAAACTACAGGTCATAGCTTTCAATTACTTGTCAAAATGTTGAAGGGGAAATGAAGCGAGTGTTATCACACAGATCTGTTTTAATGTGGAGCGCACTACCTACAAGGATAGAGAAAGCAGGTTCTATGGGAACCATCAAAGAAATGTATTTAAAGAAAACTAATTTGCATGGAGAACAGCCACCAGACAGTAGCTGTTAAGAAAGTAGAACCAGTCCCATTCCTGGTTTATCAAAAGGCTGAAATCCCTCAGTTCATCAGTGAAGGGAGGGCTGAGTCTAATCAAAGATGTTTTAAAATATATGTAAAAAAGCAACATATATGACAGAGGCAGCAGTGCAATCAGATGTAATGTTGATGACCAGTGAAATCCAGATGAATCCAGGGATTTGAAGCCAAATTCAAGGAAAGATCCAGAATGAAGAACAATACAGATCATGGACAGACCTTTCGGCCCTCCTAGGCTGCACTGACACAGTTTGCGCTTCCATATTAAAACTGTCTTCACTTACAGGATCAGTATCTCTCTATTCCCTTCCTATTTATGTATTCATCCAACTGCTTCTTGAATGTTGCTATTGGGTCTGCTTCCACCACCTCCTCTGGCAGCACATTCCTGGCACTCACCCACTCTTTGTGTGAAGAATTTGCCTCACACATGTCTTTTAAACATTTCTCCCCGCCAGGCACCTTGAACCTGTGTTCCATAGTAATTGGCCCTTCCACCCTGAGAAAATGCTTCATACCTTCCATTCACAACAATTTCTAGGTAATGACCTTCTCCAACAGAAAAGAATTTAGCCATCTCCCCTTGGCTGCACTATCATTGCTGAATCAACATCCTGGGGGTTACTGTGAGAGACACGAAACTGCAGCAGCCATTTAAACACTGTGGTTGCAAGAGCATGGCAAGGATGTGGGACAGAATGTACATATTCTGCCCTGGGCAGCAATTTCCACATCCCCCAAAGGATATGCTAGAACCGTAGTTAGCCCCCAGCTCAGAGTACTATTCTATTCACCACATTGGAGGAAGGATACAATTACAACAGAGAGGAGACAAAGGAGAGTTTTGAGGATATTTAGCACATTTTAGCAATGAGGAAAGATTGCTCAGACTGCGTTTGATATTTTTGGAACAGAGGAGGCCAGGAGGAGATTTACTTGAGGTGTATAAAATTATAAAAGGGATAGATAGATGGATAGAATGGGCGTACAGGTCAATAAGCAAAGGAAATAAATTTAAACTATTTTGCAAAATCATTAAAGAGGGCTTTGAGATTTTGAGGAGGTAGGAATCTGGAATGTGGAGTAAAAGGGTGCAGGGACAGAAACTCTGATCACATTAAGAAAAACCCTGGATATGGAGAACACAATGAAGGAGCAAATTACTGCAGATGCTGGAATCTGCACTGAAAACAAAAAATGCTGGAAACACTGTGAGTAAAGCAGCACCTGTGGAGAGAGATAACATGGTGTAGAGCCGGATGAACACAGCAGGCCAAGCAGCATCAGAGGAGCGGGAAAGCTGACATTTCGGGCCTACCTCTACACCTTATTATCTCAGATTCTCCAGCATCTGCAGTTCCTACTATCTCTGTGGAGAGAGAGCAAGCTTATGTTTTGTGTCTAAATGACTCTTCATCAAATCTGGCAGCATATGTGAAGGAAAAAACAGAGTTAATGTTTCGGGTCCGGTGACTCTTCCTCAGAGCTGAGGAAGGCATTCTAAGGAAGGGTCACCGGTCCCGAAATGTTAACTCTGTTTTTTTCTTCACAGATGCTGCCAGACCTGCTGAGCTTTTCCAGCAACTTCTGTTTTTGTTCCTGATTTACAGCATCTGCAGTTCTTTCAATTTTTATTGTCTCTTCATCAGAGTGGATATGGAGAACATACAGAGTTACAGACCAAGAGTTTCTTTTGTCCCTCCAAACCCCCAGCCCCATTGCCTTCTCTCCAGCAGCTGACTGAATGATTGCTCACTTTTCTAGTCTTCCCACAAACATCAGAAACTCCATCGGTAAATTCTGGTAAACCTCCTGAACTGCGTCACTGTTAGGTTCTCTCTGCAAGTGCAAAAACTGCTTCAGAAATGAACCATTTGGAATGATTGAGACAACAAGGTGCAGGGCTGGATGAACACAGCAGGCCAAGCAGCAGCTAGCCTTTCTGCTGCTATGATGCTGCTTGGCCTGCTGTGTTCATCCAGCCCTGGACCTTGTTGTCTCGGATTCTCCAGCATCTGCAGTTCCTACTATCTCTGATTCATTTGGAATGATTGACTGAAAGCATGGAACTGTTGCCACTTTACAATGCAAATAAGAAGCACTGATTAAGATTTAAGTAGCTTCATATGTTTCCTGGTGAATCAGGTATTGTGGCTGCACTGAAGCATTCTGCTTCTAAAATAGGATTCCAGATTATTCTTTCAGGTAACATTCACAGCCTGTTGACAAGTCCTCGTTGTGATTACAGAAAACAAAGCACTTGACAAGTTCAAAAAATGTGAAGCAATTCATTTCACCTCATGACCAGAGGGCATGTTGAGAGTGGAGGCGGGAGAGAGTGAATCAGACAAGCTAATGGGTAACATTTGGAAAATGACAGCAGCTACACACAACACAAATCATGTACTCCTAGGATTGGTGAGCGGCCTGCCACACCCATCGTCATTCTCTCCCTTGTTTCTATGGTGATGTGCCATACCTCCATCAATGCAGACCGATCCAGGCTCTGTCTCTCTGCTGAAGCCTTCAGTCAGATGGCTGATGCCTACTACCAGGCTGCTAAACGGAGGAAACAAACAAATACACATTTGTTCCACTTCCCCAGAAAAAATTCAACAAACAAATCATATTTACATATCATCATTTACAACTTCAGGTAAACTGACGGCAACACTCCCTCAGTACTGACCCTCCGACAGTGCGGCACTCCCTCAGCACTGACCCTCCGACAGTACTCACTCCCTCAGTACTGACCCTCCGACAGTGCGGCATTCCCTCAGCACTGACCCTCCGACAGTGCGGCACTCCCTCAGCACTGACCCTCTGAGAGTGCGGCGCTCCCTCAGTACTGACCCTCCGACAGTCTGACATTTGGCTAAAAATCCTACACCATTTAAATGCTTCCTTCAGGAGATATATGCACAAGGTGTGAGGAAGTGGCACACTGTCGGTGCTGAAGGAGCGCCGCACTGTCGGAGGGTCAGTACTGAGGGAACGCTGCACTGTCGGAGGGTCAGTACTGAGGGAGTGCCACACTGTCAGAGGGTCAGTACTAAGGGAGTGCTGCACTGTCGGAGGGTCATTACTGAGGGAGTGCTGCACTGTCAGAGGGTCAGCACTGAAGGTGTGCTGCACTGTCGGAGGGTCAGTACTGAGGGAATGCTGCACTGTCAGAGCTGACATCGCGCAGATGAGATATTAAGCCTGCTACCTGATCCAGCGCCGCTTAGAGGGCCACAGGGAGCAGAGAAATCATTCACCATAGCCACGTGACCTGTGCTATCAAGATCGTATGATTAATTTGAATCATTCAAATGGCTAGACGAGGAAAGCATGGATGAAGCAGTCACCACACTCCCTCATTATTAACCACAGTATTGGTGATCAATGCTTGCTCACCTCTCATGCTTCATCTCATTGTAAAGGAAAATGTTTCCAAGGATGGTCCTTTTTTGGATCAATGAACCTTTGGGTTTCTGAAGCTTTGAAAGCATTTCCTCAATCAGAGTAGATTTCCCAACACCAGATTCACCTGCACAAAGTAAAAACAATCAAAATTAAGGCTTAAAATCCCAACAAGGTTCAAACACATATTTTTCTGGAATGAGCTGGGTACCTGATGCTGAGCCTCCGTTATCCCAGTTGGAAATATCCTTTCACTTTGGGAAGAAGTGGATTCCCTGCCATAGGGGTGTCGATGAGGAAAAGAGCCACTGGCTTTGGTTTTAACCAGCAGAATGGCCTTTTCATTTCGACCTGAAATGGTTCGATGATTATTATACTAGTGAGTTCATGGGGGAAGTGGGATAATGTGTGTTCTGGAATAGATACTGGAAGATGATGCCTGCAATTGAAGGTCGAGTGATCTGCTAAAATATCCTCTGATGACCTTTTCCAGCAGGTAATGAGAACTCTGTGATGGTACTTGACATCAAAGCAATCTGAGCCACACCCACCATGTCCAAGTCCAGGGTTTTGAGCATTACAAAGCCGTGCGGGGCACAGAAGGCTGCAGTTTGCAGGACACATGCTTTCCTGGTCAAGTGACTGTATCTGCATTTCTCTCTCCTTCTCCTGTTTATTTCTATTCGAGCTTTTGTTTCATTTTTAGCTGAATCAGAGCCAATTCTCATGGTGTTATATCAATTTCAGATTTCCGCCCTTTTAACTCTAAACGCTGGATAATCACCGAGATCCTGCTTTTCATTTCTATCTCTAACTTGTCCATTAACTCTTTCAGTGTAGCTTACTTCAATAAATCTACTGTCACATCTTCTACTCCTGGGAAAGTCTGAGCAACAGTCAAACCTGTGTCACATACTTTACAACAATTCTCTTGTTTCGGCACCCAGAATTGTCATGTATGTGTTTGTTTTAGATTTGCAGATTTAATTGAATAGATTTTTATCTTGCATAAGACTCAATTTTGTAACAGAAACACAAAAACATAGAAAATAGGAGCAGGAGTAGGCCATTCAGCCCTTCAGGCCTGCTCCACCATTCAATATGATCATGGTTGATCATCCAGCTCAGTATCCTGTTCCCACCTTCTCCCCATACCCTTTGATATGGAACTATAAACCGGTGAGTCTGACACAGTAATGGGCAAGTTGTTGGAGGGGATTTACATGAGGGACACGATTTACATGTATTTGGAAAGGCAAGGACTGATTGGGATAGTCAACATGGCTTTGTGGGTGGGAAATTGTGTCTCACTAACTTGATTGAATATTTTGAAGAGATATCAAAGAAGATTGATGAGGGCAGAGTGGCAGATACTGTCTATGTGGACTTTGTCAAGGTGTCCGACAAGGTTCTGCACAGTAGACTGATCAGCAAAGTTGGATTACATGGAATTTAGGGAGTGCTAGCTGTTTGGATATAAAATTGGCTTGGAGGTAGAAAACAGAGGGCAGTGGTAGAGGGTTGTTTTTCAGTCTGGAGGGCTGTGACCAGCGGTATGCCACAAGGATCGGTGCTGGGTCCACTACTTTTGTCATTTATATAAATGATTTGGATGCTAATAAATGAGGAAGGGTTAGTAAGTTTGTGGATGACACCAAAATTGGCAGTGTAGTGGACAGCGAAGAAGGCTATCTCAGAGTACAACGGGACCTTTTAAGTGGCAGACAGAGTTTAATTTAAATAAATGTGAGGTATTGCATTTTGTTAAGGCAAACCAGGACAGGTCTTATACAGTTAATGGCAGGGCCCTGGGGAGTGTTGCTGAACAAAGAGACCTAGGGGTACAGGTGCATAGTTCCTTGAAAGTGGAGTCGCAGGTTGACAGGGCGGTGAAGAAGGCATTTAGCACGCTTGCCTTTATTACTCAGTACATTGAGTATTGGAGTTGGGCGGTCATGTTGCAGCTGTACAGGACATTGGTGAGGCCAATTTGAGAATACTGCGTTCTGAATAACTCCACAAAGGCCTGGATCCCATCACCAAGTCACACTTTTTTACATGTTCATTGTACATGACACTGACCCAGCTAGCTCAGAGCTGGGTCCTAGAGTGAACAGAACCTCTGACACTCCTGTTTATATCCATCACCCAGGGCTCCCTGACTAGACCAGGTTAACAGTCCCAATCAGGGAACTCAGATTCTATGGAAAAGCTCAGCAGGTCTGGCAGCACCTGTGAAGGAAAAAAAACAGAGTTAACGTTTCAGGTCCAGTGACCCTTCCTTTCTGTTTTTTCCTTCACAGATGCTGTCAGACCTGCTGAACTTTTCCAGCAACTTTGTTTTTGTTCCTGATTTACAGCATCTGCAGTTCTTTCGGTTTTTAACTCATATTCTATGATGTCCACCTGGCTGATCTCGTTTCAATCACTACATGTGCAATCCTGGTCTCCCGGCTGTAGGAAAGATGCTGTTAAACTTGAAAGTGTTCAGAAAAGATTTATAACAATGTTGCCAGGGTTGGAGGGTTTGAGATATTGGGAGAGGCTGAATAGGCTGGGGCTATTTTCCCTGGAGTGTCAGAGGCTGAGGGGTGACCTTATAGACGTTTATAAAATCATGAGGGGCATGGACAGAGTGATTTAGCCAAGGTCATTTTCCAAGGGTAGGGGAGTCCAAAACTAGAGGGGCATAGGTTTACGGTGAAAGGGGCAAAATTTAAAAGCAACCTAAGGGGTAACTTTTTCATGCAGAGGGTGATGCGTGTATGGAATGAGTTGCCAGAGGAAGTGGTGGAGGTGGGTATAATTGCAACATATAAAAGGCGTCTGGATGGGTACATGAATAGGAATGATTCAGAGGGACGTGGGCCAAATGCTGGCAAATGGGACTAAATCAGTTTAGGATATTTGGTCAGCACAGACAAGTTGGACTGAAGGGTCAGCTTCGCTATACAGTTCTATGACTCTATCACTCTGTAACTATATCCGTCTCTTTCTTGAAAATATTTCTGTGGCAGAGGGTTCCACAGACTCATTACTCATTATCTCAGTCCTAAATGGCCTACTCCATATCCTTTGACTACGACTACAGGTTCTGGATTCCCTAGTCACCATAAACATCCTTCCTACATTGACCCTGTGTAATCTAGTTAGGATTTTATAGGTTTCTTTGAGATACTTCTAATTCCCTCATTCTTCTAAACTCCAGTGCCAATCTGAGACAACAAGGTGCAGGGCTGGAT